ATCAGTCTGGTTGTTTTTAGAACTACGTTGAGATGAATAGGTGAAAATGAAGGCCGTAGTCAGACTGTCATGTGATAGGTGTTTGTATGCTAAGAAGGTAATCAGAAGGGATGAAATATACAGTAAGATGTTCAAAATTAGCTCAAGGCAGCATTAATTATTGGTAGATGAATGTCTAAATACTAAACTGAGAGAATTCAAGACCTATAGGGAGGTTAGGTGATGTTTAGAAATGTGAAGTTATGCTTGGGTTAAAAACTTTGTTAAGCCTGTGTTTTCTCTTACCCTGTAATCAAAGGTACAGCAGAAGTATGTTTACTAGGAGGCATGTGTAAATTTTCACTGAAATTTTCTTTTTAGCCAATGACATCATCATATTCCTTTCTGTTGAAAGAAGCAACCCACGTTGCATTTCTTAGTATTTTCTCCTAGATTTGACCTAATCTTATTCCTCCTATTAAGTGATCTTTAGTTTCATGTAAGATGAAACTTCCCACAATTGGATATTTTATTCTTCATTGATTGCAAAGTAGTCAAACTGGCTTGGTAATGTCTTTTATTCAGCTTAGTTCAGAACCTTTCAGTTCTTTGAGAAGCTAATATTTAAACTTTCTTTTAATTTTTTAATTTCTATAGAAGCAACCCTTTCAGAATAGTACCAGGAAATAATTGAGGAAAAAGTCTAGGCTGGAATGAAGTTTCTGCAACATTTTGTTCAGTTAGTCATTACCTTATTATGTCTTTTTTATTTTTTTTAAATAGGATCCGCAATGCCCAGCTATGCCATATTTTGGAGTAGTATCACTTTAAGGAGTAGTATCATACAGCATATGAACATTAATACATCATACAAAATACAGGTTCTATGGAAATAATTTTGGAAATGCTAGCTTAAACAACATTGAACAGGTTATTGTAGAATTCCTCAGTTGTTAATTAAACACCTCCATGAATACCATGAAACTCCAAGGAGATTATTTATGGCTTTTCTGAAACACTGCTTGTCTGACACACCAACCCTAGGACCAAATTCCACACAGTGTACTTACTGTCTGGCCTACTAACAATTGTCCTGGTGGCTTGACCCGTTTATGCTGTCTGCTCAGCCCTATAGGCATTTGAGTTTGTGTGACACCTGCTGTAAGGACATGGCATGGCCAGAGGCTGGTACCACCCAAATGATACTGCAGTGCCTGTCTTTCTAGAGTCACCTCCACAAGCAAATATGGTCAGGTTGCTCCAAGAAGGAGTGCTGGAATCTTCTCATGCTCATTTAAGGGACTCCTCACTAGTTTTGCATGTTATCCTTATACTATTTGTCTTCAAAATACTGAGGCTTTTATTGTCTAAAGCATAGCCTCTTCAGCAATGTACTGGAAGAGAAGTTGTTTCATATACATACAGACAGAGTTACCCCCGACAGGTTGTGTTGCTAGGAGAAGTTTATATTGAATTAGGTCAGAGTTCTAATTTTATCCATTTAAAAAATCATTAAGGCAACAAAGATGATTAAAAAGCAGTTTTTCACTCTTTACCCCTTTCCACAAAATATTTCAGTCTGCTTATGAAATATAATATATTAAAGCAGAGAAATGTATACATAAAAGTCAGAAAAAAATCAGGATGACAAAATATATATCCAGGATGAGAAAATAACTTTAGAAAGAGAACATGTATATCAGGCCCTGAGGTCTGGGAATAAACCTAAAATGGAGAAATACACCTTATAGGAGAGTGAGTTTGTATTTCAAAGAGAAAACAGAGCGTGAGTGAAATTTCTCAATACAAGCAGTACTGCCGTGTTAGCTTTGCTTGTGTTGATGTTTTACTAACCCTGCAGGGGTGCCAGCTCTGAGCAGCTGTTTTCTGATACCAGGTTGGAATCAGGCTTTGTGAATATCCTTGAGCCCTCTTCCTGTATGTTTACCTAGTCTGTAGTGCCAAGAATAACGTAAAGGAGTGGGTTGTGGGTGATGCCATTAAGTGAGGGTGAAGGGTGGCAGGGAGAAAGGGATGGATGAAAGCTCTAGCAGGAAGGTTTGCAGTAAACAACAGCTATTACACAAGGTGACATTTTCTGTACTTTTGGTTAAATGAGACCTGATCAATATGTATACTACATAGGAATTGTTTTCATTTTTGGAACAAAGTGATCCATAACCAAAAGACTACAGTAGTACTGGTCTGTAGTCCCAGCTACTAGGAAGATGAGATAAGAGGGTTCTTTGATTTCAGGAGTTCAGGCTCATTTGGGCAACATAAGAAGACCCTGTTTGTCTCAAAAAAAAAAAAAAAAAAAAAAAATCCATGACTAAATCTCATTAATATAGAGTGATTGGAGCCAGGCGTTGTGGCACATTCCTGTAAACCCAGCACTTAAGAGGCTGAGACAGGAGGATGGCTGCAAGGTCAAGGCCAGCCTCAGCTCCCTAGTGAGTTCCAGGCCAGCCTGAACTACATAGTGAGACTTGGTCTCAAACAAACAAACGAACAAAAATTTTTAGAATCACCTAATGGTCTGATCTCAGAAGCTAAGCAGGGTTGGGCCTGGTTAGTACTTGGATGGGAGAATCACCTAACCATGTCCAGAAGCTGCCTTAAAACTGCTTTATTAGAAATAAGACTAGAACTCCTGCATGATGCTGGAATGCCTGTAATCCTAGCACTCTGGAAGGCAGGAAGATCTGATCACAAGTTTGAATCCAGCCAGAGCAATTTAGTGACTTAGAGACACCCTGTCTCCACACAAAAACTAAAAGATGGAGGGGCTGGGGATGTAACTCAGTGGGAAGATCCTGGGTTCAATCCACAGTCTCAGAAAAATTGAGTGAATGAGTGACCCCTGAGGGTGTACTACAGTGTGGTGGTCTTATGTTCACCCCAAGCACCAAACTAAGCAAAACAATAATGGGGCTGGAGATTTAGCTCGGCGGCACAGCGCCTGTGTGGCAAGTGCAAAGTAGTGAGTTTGATTACCAGTACCAGAAGAAAAAAAGAAAACAAAAACAACACAAAACAATAAAACAAACAAACAGAACCCAAACCTACAAGAGCGAGTTCTATGTAGAAACAGAGACAGAGATACATCCCTTCTCTTTCTCTCTCTCTCTCTCTCTCTCTCTCTCTCTCTCTCTCTCTGTTTTGTTTTGAGACAGGGTCTTGCTCTGCAATTCAGATAATTTAGAGTGGCCTTGAACTCACTGTGTAACCCAGGCTGGCCTTGAACTCCTTGCAATTCTCCCGCCTCAGCATCCCAAATGCTGGGCTTACCGATGTGCTCCACCACACCTGGCTACATTTTAACTTGTGAAAGTAGCATCTTTGTTCTTATAGTATCAGGAAATTAGCATGACTTTAATTACTAAAAATAGTGACTAAGCCATTTAAAGACATGCTTTATAGTATTAATGAAACCTGCCTTAGTGATAAATGTCAAGGAAGTAATATTTGGCAAAATAGACCAGATATTTTGAGAAAAGAACTGCATTTTTAAGGGCTGGGGATTTAGCTCAGCGGCACACTGCCTGCCTGGCAAGCGCTAGATGGTGAGTTCGATTCCTGGTACCAGAAGAAAAACAAAAACAAAAACAAAAGCAAAAAAAAAAAAAAAAAAACAGAACTGCATTTTTAAAAAATGCAGTACAAGTGGAACAAACACTTGAATGTTAATAGAATTGCCAACAGGTCCAAGTTTTCGGAGTCTAAGGAAAAAAGGAAGATTTTATGACTTCTGGCTGAGAGCAGCAGTGTCATAAAAGGTGAAAAATTAGTTGGGGGTGAATTTAATGGCAATCTTATGTAGTGGATAGACTGCTTCTGACGAGCAAAGCCAGTTTTAGAGTCAGTTCAAGGTATTCTGAAAGTGTAATTGGCAGTGGTGCTACCTTTCAAGTAGGAATATTACGGGATATGATCAGCCAATCCACATAAGAACATATCTCCTGAGTTTTTGCACATTAAGTGTTGATGCTTGAGGAATGGGGAAAATGAAGAATTCTGTTGATACTGAGGAAATAAAACCCAGCAGTTTTGTTTTGTTTCCTATCTTAAGCTGGGTGAGAGCTGGGGGGAGAGGCATGTGGCTTAAGGACAGATACTAGGTGCCACTGTGTACCCACTGGCTTCCCAGAGCATGCGGCTGCCCACGTGCCTGGATGCTTAGTTTTCAGGCAATGTCAAACACATCTTTTGCAGTGAGAGTTTTGTTTTGTGTTGTTTTTTAAAAGAGATCTGGTAGTTGAGTTCTGATTAAAAGGAATATATCAAAGTTAAGCTGATGGCCTTATTTTTTTACCATATGTTAAAATAGTGCAAAATATGGGCAGGAAATCAGAGAACTAGTTATGAGAATTACTAAGTAGAAATATGCCATAAAGGTTTCTTTTTCTAATTTTTAAAACATTACTTTATTTCCAGCCTTGCCTTTATTTAACCAACCCTCATTTAGGAAAATCAAATTAATCAAAATTATGTGCTTCAGTATTTGATATCTTTGGTGACTTGATGATTGTTGATCAGTGTTAAATCATATTGGTGAAAGATAAATATCTTAATCTGGGGGATGATGAGAATTTAAAACCAGACATTTAGATGATTCATAGGGAATGTTCCTAATGTTCCTGTTCTCTTCCTTTAGGTGGGCTCTTAAAAGCTAAATGGTATACTTTGACAGGTGGTAAACAATCTATGATGGTAAACAAATCTGATCCAAAATCCAGAATCTCTCTCTAAAAGATTACCTTTAAAAGCAAACAAAAACATAAGTGGTTTATGAAGATTTCGTAGTATATGTCTAGAGTGTTGAGTATTGAGTACTGTAGCTTCCCCGGGAAGTTTTACTGAAAGGCACTTAATGCAGATTACATTCACTAATTAACTGGATTTTGTTGGGGTGTATATGTTGTACAATATACAAATCAGTGGGTTTATCTTTAGTCATCTTATTCTCATTTGGGGTTGATGGAAATGAAGTAAGGACCAAGTAAACAACTTTTTTTCAGGTGCAAATTCGACCATGGAACCTAAGTGACAGTGACTTTGTAATGGATGGTTCTCAGCCTTTGGACCCCAGAAAAACTATCTTTGTCGGGGGAGTTCCACGACCCCTCCGAGCTGGTGAGTGGAAATAGTAACACCACAACAACAAAAACAACGACAAAAATCCCCAATGCGTTAGTCTTAAATAATGTTCTAGTTCCCCGTCAGCTACTCACAATCTCTAAAAAGAAGGCTGTTGTGTCATTTTCACTGAGTTTTTTCGTGATTAAATATATTCTCCCAAAATGCTGTATCTTCTTATGGTGCAAGAGTAAATTTTATTAAATCATTATGTTGAAAGGATGGACTCTAGTGCTCTCCTATTTAACCGCTTATTTAAGAAATAATATACTTGGCAACATGCATTCTAATGCTAGTTAGTGTTGTTATGTACGACAGAAAAAGAAGTCACCCAGTCAGAAATCTGCCAGGTGCAACTGTGTACCCGACTCAGTCGTGAGCCAAAGCATTGCTGGAAATTATACCCCTGGGAATCAAACTGAACTCATCCCAAGTGAGATGAAGTCTTGTTTTTGCTCATGAAGACTGAGAAATGAATTATATATTTGGGCATTTTTATTAGGAATATAAAAGCTTCCCTGTTTTTGTGAAACATCTTTCCAATGATGATATAATTGTGTTGTTGAGCAGAATCATAACTGACTAGAGAGTTTGGAGTGATGCCACACTGATGACTTCAATATTTAAATCTTAGACAAGTCTAAGCAGCCATCCATCAGTCTCCTAAAGATCAGTGTTACCGCCAGTGGAGTAAAATTAATTCTAGGAACTAAGATTTTAAAGCTCTTATGATATATTAATTTTTAAACAGAAAATAAGTTTACCACTGCCACTATAGTTGCAACAGCATATTATGTTGTCATTTGTGAGCAAGTAGACTAGGTACTGCCACAAACATGAAAACAAAACCAGAGATCATTAAAATCATCTTGTGAAAACAGAGCTATAGAAGGTGACCTATAGCTATTTGGCTCTATGAGTTTCTTGAGTTCCTAGTTCTGAAAATTCTGCAATATTTTGAACATATTTATTGAATTCCTACTCTATACCTAAAAATTCATCTTAGACCTATATAAAAATATGTTCTCATTTCAATTCTGAAGGACTTTAAATCAGAAATTAATGACTATGGAGTTTCTAATCTTATACTATTAAACAAAGTCAGCAGCACAGCGCCTGACCAAGCATGAGGTCATGAGTTCGATTCCCAGTACCAAAAAAAGAAAGAATTATTTTCATCCAAATGGAAAACTGTGCTAAAGAGGGCAAGCAAAGCAGCAGAGATGCCTTTTCTTTATTTGCTGTGAATAATAAAGTCCAGGAAGGCCTAGCTCAAGTAGAAACAGCATTATGAGATGAGCACAAACGCAGCCCTTTGTTTCTAATTAAGCTTGTGCTTTAAAAAAGTGTGAATGGGGGTGTTGTGGAATATTCTTGACTTTTCTGAGTGTTCTTATGATCGGGAGTGGGAAGAAGAAAATTCTCTTAGGTATTCTTTTACCTGCATGTATATTCTACAAATAGACATTCATTGCTAGTATTCATGGTATTCCTTTCTGCAACTAATTCAGGAGCACAAATTTATTCTAGCCCAACTCCTTTTTTAATGTGTGGAAATCTGAAAAAATATTCTGAGAGAAAAGGTTCCACCATTATAAAATATCAGAATTGGATTTAACTTATGTCTATTTTTAAATCACAGAAACTCCAGTTTATAAGCTATATTGCCTCTTATATTATTCCTCTTTTATTTTTACTTGTTTAATGATTTACTGTTTTTAACAATTTAGAAGGGTAGGTGGGGCCCGTATAACCATTTTTGTCTATGAATCCTATGAAGATCTATTTTTCACATTTAGTTTATGATCACACTGATACTCCATGAGAAGGAAATCCCAAGACACAAAATTGTATTCTTCAACATTTTATACCTGCAAAATGCTGTAAGTGCTACGATTAGACAGGACTTATATTTATTTATCTAGTCAGAAATGGGATTTTGTATTCTTTGCCTAAAGTATGTATACTTTAAAAGTCTTAAAGATCTTTGTTTTTTAGAAAACTGGCATAAGATTTTTTTGTCTTAAAATTGTTTTTGTAGTTGTGTGAGTAGTAATCAAGTCATCTAGTCTAATGAAAATGTTTCTCCTTTGCCCACATTTCCCATAAGTTTATCTAGTTTCTAGGTATAGCTAAGTAATCTACATCGGTGTTTTAGAACTTTACTATCAATCCCCAAATTTCCAGATTGGAAGCTATATAATCTAGACCAAAAAAAAAAAAAAAAAAAAGAAAAAGAAAAAAAAAAGACATCTGCAACCTTTATCTATGTGTATAGAAATGGGTTTCTTTGAAATACACTGAGCTTTGTGGACCATGTGTCTTGGAATAGAAGACTATTTTTTAAGGAGTTCGTTTTGACTTTGCTAGACAATCATAAAGTGAAGACATACAATTCACTTGAGGAGTAGCTTTGGTGAAATAACTGTGTTACTGACACTGGGAAGTACATATCGCACCAAACTGAACGAACACCCTACTGTCATATTAAACAGGCTATCATATGCACTAGGTCAGAGATTTCAGAGCATAATAAGGAATGGCACCATAGAATTCTAACTTACAATTAATTACATGGTAACATAATCCTGTCATAGAATGGTTCTCAAATTTGGTTTTGAAATGCTTTTTTACATTTTTTATTATTTCTAAATGGAATTCTGAAGTCTTAAAACTATTTCAGACTCTAACCAGAGAGTGATCCTGGACTATCTTGAAATTTTAAGTATCCAGGTGGATTTTCATCTTAGCCTGAGCCAAAAATTGTTCTTGTAACATGTTAAAGTAACTAAAATATTATCACTCAGAAGAATTATTTCTAATGTGTAAAGTGTTCCCATTCTAAGACAGGTATCATTATCACCACCAGTTATTCTAAGTACAGTCCTTATCCTTCCAAATTGAAATGGAAATATATGACCTATTTCTGAAGAAATAGGTCAACCTATTTTAAGCAATTGTGTCCTGAGTTCAGGTTGTTTTTCCTTAGTAAGTCCTTAGATAAGGTGACTTCTTCCTCCTTCCTTCCTTGTCCTTCTCCTTTTCCTCCCTCTTCCTCCTCATCCCTCCCCCACTTTCTCTTCCTTCTGCTGTTTAGATTGGGGGAAAAAATCATAGGTCTGGAAAAACTAACCTAAAATGGAAAAATATCAATGGAAAATCCAGATCTAGATAAGTTTTCTCCTCCCCTCATTGTGGGTTTCTGTAGGTCAAAAATGCACTTTCCCGTTGTAGCTTATCCCTTCTGTCACTTGACAGCAGCAAGCCAAGAGTGATTTGCCTCATCCAGTTTTTTCTTAGGTTTTGATTTCTTGACACACCATGCCACCATGTGGCTGAAGTTTGCACATTCTTCAGGGTCAGTGTAAGGAAAGGGTCAGTTCTGGTTCTCTGCTTTCTTCCACCTGGAAATACAACAGCATGTTGCCACACTTCATTCAAGAATATGAGCAAAATGCCTTCCTGAATGCCCTACAGAAATAACCCTTTTGCATATCCCTATGGCGTTAAGTCCTTTCCATATTTATGCTTCATCGCTCTAATGGGAAATAAATGTCAGGGTTGGGGGTTATGAGGAGACCACCAGGAAAAAGTGGAAAATGAAATATCTGGTCTCCAAAAACTTCCCCAGCTTCTTAACATGAGTATTTCTCTCACCCTAACATCTTGGCTGCAGCATCTAACTTGAGGACTGCTTTAGTGACCAAGCGTAGGAACTATCCATTCCCAGCCTTGATCAGGCTTGGAAAAATCCTCAGTTAGAGGCTTTTTCCCACTTTACAACTTCCTTCCAACAGTGTATCACACCAGGCCCTGCAGAACAAATCAATCTTAAAAGACTGTTCATCTGAACCCCTGGGTTCTACGAAATGTCTTTGGATCTCCTGTCTTTCTTACCTAATTTCTCTGATAATTCTTTTCTTTGTACTTTTCCCCTTTTGATAATCCTGTGATGAATGCTGACATTTCCTTCTGTACTTTCCCCTCCCTTGCTCTGTCCATTATGAAGATGGCTTTTCTGTGGAAGGTAAAAACATCTTTTCTTTTCTTTCTTTTTTTTGATGAGGCTGAGGATTGAACTCATGGCCTCATGCACACTCAGCAAGCACTGTATCACTGAGTTACATCCTACCCCTGAAGTAAATGTTCAGTGATATATGCATATATAGAGAGGACATATATCCTGAGTTTTCCTAAGATCCTTTATTTTGGACATTCTATAAAAACATAGTAGTTGTCATGAACTAGAAATCACACTATCATTTGTGATTTAGGAAATGGGAGTATTATAACAATATCCTGTTTTGTTCTGTAAAGTAGTAGCACCCGGAAACCATCCTATACTATATCAAGTTTCTTAGCAGTAAAAGCTGGGTTTTTTTAACCCCACCTCAAGTTTAGAATGAAACACCCAAAATTCCAGACTTGATATATCTGACTTGCTGACTTGCTTTGACATTATTTGACTGGCTTGATTAACTGCATTGCCATTAGCACTAAAAACTTTCTAATGTTAGTATGTGTTTTTGGTCTCCCTCCCCCCAAAAGCAAACCCTTACCCACAACTACTGTCAAATTTTGCCATATAAATGATAGATTAAGAAATATTTGTGTAAAATCAAAGATAACTTGCATGGATTGAAGCTTATAGAGCAGAAGTGAAGCCAACATTGTGTTAAGCAAAGATTATGAATGGGGTGAAACAGTCTCTGGGCAAAGCTAAACATTTTTTGCTACTCTATACTCAACAGTGTGCTTAGAGCTCTCATTTATGTTTAATCTTCATTATAATTAAGATTGCAAATGGTTGACTTGCATCTTAGAGAAAACAGAGTTAAGATGGAGTAATTGGTCTAAGGCCACAACAATTGAAAAGGCCGAGATTCATTTTTACATTTCAACTTCAAATTTGGGTCTCTTCATATAGAAAGAAGCTGTTTTAGCTGAGATATGGGATGTTGTCTCAGTAAGAGTAATAGTCAACTTGATATCAGTTT